TTCAATGTATGACAAAAACCACTGCAATGGTGTAAAGTAATTAGCCTCCAACTAATAAAAATAAATGGAAAAAAAAATTAAAAAAAAAAAATTCATACAACTCAATAGCCAAAAAGCAAACAACCCAATTAAAAATGGGTAGAGTATCTAAACAGGTATTTTTCCAAAAAAAACATACAGATGGCCAACAAGCAACATGAGGAAAATGCAAATCAAAACTGCATGAGCCATCACCTCATACCTGTTAGAATGACTATTACCAAAAAGATAAGAAATAACAAGTTTAAGGATATGAAGAAAAGGGAACATCTGCACTGTTAGTGGGAATGTAAGTTGGTGCAGCCACTGTAGAAAACAGTATGGATGTTCTTTAAAAACTTAAAAATAGGCCTACCATATGATCTAACAATTCCATTTCTGAGTATTTATCCAAAGAAAACAAAACACTAATTCAGAAAGATACAGGCACCCCCAAGTTCACTGTGGTATTATTTACAGAAGCTAACATACAGAAACAATCTAAGTGCCCATGTATAGATGAAAAGATAAAGATGTGATACACACACACACACACACACATACACACACACACACAAACACACACACACACAGACGGAAATACTATGCAGCCATAAAAAATGAAATCCTCCCCTCTGGAACAATATGAATGGACCTTGAAGGCATTATGTTAAGTGAAATAAGTCAGGCAGGGAAAAACAAATACTATGTAATCTCACTTATATGTAGAATTAAAAAAGACACAAAGCTCACCAATACAGAGAACAGATTAGGGTTGCCAGAGCAGGGAAGTGTGGATGAAATGAGTGAAGGGGGTCACAAGGTACAAACTTCCAGTTATAAAAAAATTAATGTCATGATGATATAATGTACAGCATGGTAACTATAGTTAATAAAACTATATTGCATATTTAATAGTTGCTAACACAGTAAACCTTAAAAATCTTCAACATAAAATTGTAACTGTATGGTGACAGATGTTAACTAGACTTACTATGGTGATCGCTTCACAATGAGTACAAATATTAAGTCATTATGCTGCATACTTGTAACTAGTATAATTTATACTGCTAATTGGAATCTTGTTAAAAATATTTTTAAGAAATGTTCAGTTCATTTTCTAAAAGTAAAAATCGAGACATTCATCTATGCCAGATATTCTGGAAGACAAAGGATACATATAGTATGTATGTCCTGTACACTCCTCTAAATACTTTGTGAAGGAAGTTCTTCTTGGACAATTCCAGAGATCTTTTCTAGATCTTTTTTCTATCCCTAACTGAGGTATATGTATACTTCTTGAGAGTTTAATATACCTTAGCTTCCTGGATAGTAGATTATCAGATTTTCCATTTTCAAACATCTTTTTCTGCAGTCCTGACAAGTGAGGGAAATATTCCAAAGCTCCTTTTTCTTTTTTTTCTACACCTTTATTAACTTACAGAACTCAAGGATTTATCTGCCACCTCTCAGCCAAGGCTGCCAAGTCTATCCTGAAAACTATCTCATGTTTTAGTCTACCATCTCTACAGAATTCTTTTTTATTTTTAATTTTATTTATTTTTTTCGCTGTAGGAGGCAGCATTCGGGATCTTAGTTTCTCCACCAAGGATGAAACTTTGTCTTCTGCATGGGAAGCACAGAGTCTTAACTACTACTGACAGCGAAGTCCCTAGAATTCTCTTTTTACGTCTCATTCACACTGAAAGCTCAATATTATCAACCGAAAGCCATTAATACACCACAAGCCAGATTATCTTCCTATGTTCACTTTGAAATTACAAGTATCAATTTTTCCCAGTCTTGGGACTATTCCAACGCCTTAGAACTCATGGAATGATTTTTGTATCAAATTGCTCAATTCTAATGATAAACAGGCCTGCAGACGAGGCTGAATTTTAGTATTTGCCTATCAAAGAACGATTTTTCTGATATCTTCAGGTCTTTAAACGAGCACGTGTGACAAGCCTGTGTGCTAAGTTGTTTCATTCCTGCCGACTCTGTGCGACCCCGTGGACTGTACCCCATCAGGCTCCTCTGTCCATGGGATTCTCCGGGCAAACACTGGAGTGGGTTGTCATGCTCTCCTCCACGGGACCCAGGGATGGAACCAGGGTCTCCCCACTGCAGGCAGATTCTTTACCATCTAAGACACCAAGGAAGTCCCTAACAAGCCAAATACTATATTATCTGAAACAAAATTTCTCTCGAGATAATAAAAAATATATAAAAATTAAAAAAAAAAAACACCGCCACACTGAGCAATTTCAGGAGTTCTCTGAAATTACTCCTCATTGGAGGAATAGTGAGGAACAGTAGGAGGAACAGGCTGTAGTGAAGCATCCTGCGCCCCCCTTTTAGAATCAGCGGTCCTACCCTGAAACTCGGCTCCTTCTGGAAACCAGCCCGTAACCCGGTAGAACCAGCCCCGCAGGGGATGACTACGAGCCCCATGATGCAAAGCGAGCCCAGGGCCACATTGGCCGCAGTTCCTCCCGGGAATTGTAGTCTTCTCGTCACCTGTCGGTCAAACTAGGGGCCGTAGCCTCCATTTCTCAAAAGTTAACTGATAAAAATAAAGCCATGGGACAGAAGATAAAATTCTGACCACAAAACTAGGTTAGACCCAGGCGCTGAGGACCCCTGAGCCCACAACTCATGCCCCTGAGGCGGGCGACCTCGGTGGACGTCACTTCCGGGAGCGGCGGCGGCCCAGCCCCTCCCTCCGCCTGGCCGGGACCCTGAGCCCGCGGCCGGCACGGAGGCGGGCGGGCAGCAGCTGTTTTCGGGAAGGGAGTCACGTGAGTTCTCCGGGAGCTGTGGCTGGAGACCGAAAGCTGCTGTGAGGCAGGGTCGGAGTTAACTCTCCCGGGGCAGCGCGCCCGAGCAGGCTGAGGTAGGGAGCGGGCTGAGGAGGGGAGCGCGCTGAGGTGGGGAGCGGGCTGAGGAGGGGAGCGCGCTGAGGTGGGGAGCGCGCTGAGGTGGGGAGCGGGCTGAGGAGGGGAGCGCGCTGATGTGGGGAGCGCGCTGAGGTGAGGAGCGGGCTGAGGAGGGGAGCGCGCTGAGGAGGGGAGCGCGCTGAGGTGGGGAGCGGGCTTTGGAGGGGAGCGCGCTGAGGTGAGGAAGGCGCTGAGGAAGGTAGGGAGCGCGCTGAGGTAAGTAGGGGGCGCTCTGAGGTAGGTAGGGGGCGCGCTGAAGAAGGTGGGGAGCGCGCTGAGGTAGGTAGGGGGCGTGCTGAGGTAGGTAGGGAGCGCGCTGAGGTGGGGAGCGCGCGGCGGCTGACACCTGCGCCCAGTGGCAGGCGGGGGAGCTCCCCCGAAGGGCCGGGAGTGCGACAGAGCCCGGGCGGCCGCCGACTCTGCCGCGCTCCGGGGCGGAGGCGGAGGATCGCCGTCCCCCGAGCCGAGGAGCCGTGGCCTGCTCAGACCCCGAGCCGAGGAGCCGTGGCCTGCTCAGACCCGAGCAGACCGTCCTGGGTAGTCCCGGCTCTGCGCTGCCCGCACGCCGCGACCTCTCTGGCTCGCCGTGCTGTTCGGGCTCGGGCCACCTCACCTGCCCGCGGTTCTCCAGAGGACGGAGAGGTCCTCAGGGCAGGTCGAGGCCGCGGCGCGAGCCCCGCTTGGTGTCTCACCGCCGGGCAGCGCTCAGGGCCTCGCGAGCTCGGAGGCTGTCCGGGTCCGGGTGCTCCCCGCCCTGAGGCCTCAGGTGGTCGCATGGCCAAGGGCGGGGCGACCCCGCCGGCCGTCTGGAGGTTGAGAGTTCAGGCTTTTATTTACTTCTTTGGGAGGAAGCCGTCGGGCGGAACCGAGGAGCGGTGAATCAGCAGCTCGGTTTTCCCGAGCCCCTGATGATGGGGAAGGGTGCCCAGAGCCACGTGCAGGGTTAGAAATGTTGTCTCCGCGGCTCTCGGAGTCTGAGCGGCTTGTCTGTCGTCTCTTACCTTTCTCGCCGGTAGAGCTGCGTAGACATAGCTGGATAGGCAGACCAGATGTTGTGTGACATTTCCCGGATCTGTACTTTACTGCTATTTCGTAGTTTATTAACAGCCTAGTGGGAAACCTTTTTTCCTGTATTATTGTGAAATTATGAGACAAGATAAACTCCTCCTTTTGAGAACAGAGCTTATGGAGTAAGGGTTTTGAACCTTTGTTCAGTACCTGCAGTTTATGGAATTAGGGATGATCTGGAAACTATAAGAACGTTTAAACTTTTAATCATTTAATCTTGTTCGATATACGTTTAACATTCATTGCGGTTTATTTGATTAATTTAATTTGACCAAGTTTGGTTTTTTTTCCCCCCAGATCCGTTTGATCCTGGTTTTAATAACCTGTTGCTTTAAGAACTGTTTATTCTTTACCTTACAAGCTGTCTAAGCTTCTGGTGACTGTCATTACTCTGGATAATTTTTTAGTTTCCCTAATTAAATCGGAAGGAAATATAAATAATTTTTCTCCCTTTCTTTCCTTCCCTTTACCCTCCACTGCCTGTACGATATGTAGTAGTGTCAGCATCATAATAAAGAGAATAAAGTTTCAGAACAATCTTTATCACTTTTCCTCTTTTCAACTCCTTTATGTCCATGACGTCAGGTTACAATGACCCTTACAGCAATCCATCATGAAGTGGAGGGAAAAGGATACCATGAAACATTAGGATCAAGAAAAAGGGTGTAGAATACTTCTGCTCTCCTCATCTTGCAAACAGGAGTTCTTAGAGGTGATATTTTTGGATTAAAGAAAGAGGTTTGGGGTGTATTTTCTTTCTAAATAAAATAATACAGTGTCACAAAATTAAAAGAAATGGATATGAGCATTTTGTTTTCTTTTGGATAATGCTCCTGATCAAAGACTAATCTTTCATGTGTTCCTCTCATTTTTAGAGAGTGAATTCCTAAGAAGAAAATAATGTATTGCTTATTACTTGTTCTCTAATTGTTTGGACTCAGAAGTGTGCAAGTTTGTTACAAACGCCAAAAGAAGATGGCAACTCCTTACGTTCCAGTTCCTATGCCCCTAGGGAACTCTGCTTCCAGTTTTGCAACCAACAGAAACCAAAGAAGTTCTTCTTTTGGGAGTACCTCAACAAGCTCAAACTCTTCCAAAAGCCAGTTAGAAGATTCAAATATGGGTAATTTTAAACAGACCAGTGTATCTGACCAAATGGAAAGCACTTCATCTGTCTGTAGCAGTCCCCTCATTAGGACTAAATTTACAGGTGCAGATTCTTCCATTGAGTATTCTGCTAGACCAAGAGAAAGTGAAGAACAAAGTCCTGAAACAGTGAATTTGGAAGATAGACCTTCTACACCTATTATCCTGGGTTATGAGGTGATGGAAGAAAGAGCTAAATTTACTGTGAGTATTGACTTCTGCTATCCATCATTAGATGAAAGATTTATTAACCTGTGTTCTAAACTTGTGTTGAATGATGTTAGCCTGTACTTGTAATTTCATGAATGTAAAAGTCAATTGGTTTATACCCCTTAAGTTGTCTGTCATGCTGTTGGTGTACTTTTGCTTTACTGAATGAATTTTTGCAAACCAGACACAGCTGTGAAACTAGCACACAAATCAAGAATAGGCCATTACAACATCCTAAAAGCCTCCGCTTGTGCTGTCAGTCAATACCTACTCTCCTGATGGCCTAGATTAATTTTGCCCTGTTTCTGTACTTCATGTTAGTGAAATTATGAAGTATTTACTCTTGGGTATGGTCTCTTCAGCATACATTTGTAAGATTCATCCTTGATCTTGCATGTAATTGTAGGCAGCTCACTTTTATTACTGATGTTACTCCTTTATGTGAATATACTACAGCTTATCCGTTCTACTGCTGAAGGGCATTTTGATCATTTCCAGTTTGGGACTTTTACAGATACTGCTGCTGCAAACCTGTTAGTACTTGTCCCTCATTAAACACATGTACTCACTTCTGTTTGATATAAACTCCTAAGAATAAAGTTTCTGGATCATCTGCCCAGCTTTAGAAGATACTGATGAACAATGTAGCAGAGCAGCTATACTAAGTTATACTCTTTTAAGCAGTGTATGGGAATTCTAGTTATTCCACACCTTCCCAGTTCAGTTCAGTCACTCAGTGATGTCCAACTCTGCGACCCCATGGACCGCAGCACGCCAAGCTTCCCTCCATCACCGACTCCTGGAGCTACTCAAACTGATGTCCATTGAGTCGGTGATGCCATCCAACCATCTCATGCTCTGTCTTCCCCTTCTCCTCCCACCTTGAGAATTCTAGTTATTCCACACCTTCCCAACATGTAGTATTTTTTGTTTGTTTGTTTTAGCTTTTCTAGTGAGCAGAATGATACATTGTGGTTTTAATTTGCCTTTAAGACTTTTTTTTTGTGGCCATTTGAGTATTCTCTTTTCTGAAATGTCTGTTCAAGACTTGTTCATTTTCCTTTTGGGAGGTCTTTTCCACTTTGATTTATAGTTTCCTGTGCATTTTGGACATAAGTCCTTTTTCAGAACATATGTTGTGACTATCATCTCTCACTCTGTGATTTGCCTGCCTTAATGGTTCATTCGATAATCAAGAGTTCTTCATTTTAATATAGTCCAGCACATTAAATTTTTTTTTACAGTTAGCTCTTTTTCAAATCTGCCTCCTCCCAGGTTACAAGTATGTTGTCCTATGTTTTCTTCTAAAAGCTTTATTGTTGGACCTTTCAAAGTTAGAGCTATACACTGTCTGGAATTGATTTTTTTTCTGTGGTATGAAAGAGAGTCAAGACACATTTTTTTCTCCCTAAAATCAGGTTTTTATTGAAAAGACAACTCTTATCTCCTTTGCATTTGCTTTGTTGCCTATGTCACAGTCAGGTGACCATAAGTGTACGGGTTTGATTCTGTGTTCCATTTCTCCCTTCTTCACTGGTTCCACCCTATCTTCATTACTAAGGACTGATGGTAGTATTGACATCTGGTAGCTAAGTACTGTAGCTTTGCTGTTCCTCTTCAGGGTTGTCTTGGCCCTTTGCATTGAGATTGTATTAAATCTATCTAGGGAGAACTGACCTATTTATAGTACCGAGTCTTTGAACCTAAACCATGTCCTTAAGTCTTTAATTTATTTAAATAATATTTTAATTAATTTTAAATACTATTTTAATAAATTATTAAATAATATTAAATAATATTTTAAATAATTGTTTTCAGGGCAGAAGTCTTAACCTCTTTTGCTAAGATTTGTTACTGGGTATGGATATTGTTTGATATTCTCGACATCTTTTAATGTTTTCTGTTTGTTCATTGCTAGTTTAGTCTGTTTTATCCTCATTGTATATTACATATTTCTATATCCAGTGACCTTGTTAAATCCACTTATAAGCTTGTTCTTTGAAACTGTTCTTTCTCTTGGATTTTCTGAAAGTAATGATTTCATATTTACTTCAACATTTCATGTTGTATAGTTAATGACAGTATGGAAGGATCATCTAGGGAAAAGAATATTGAAGAGGCAATTTTTAGAGTTAAAATATTGTAAGACATGATATGGATGGCAAATCTGCATGGATCTGACTTTTTTTGTGAGTGATTTTTGGAAATTATAATAAATTGGTGGCTCATTCTGTACAGTGACCTACCTTCTCTATGAAAGAATGAGCATTCACTGAGATAATGTGTGTGAAAAGTTTGTATATAAAGTCTTTCAAGACAATACAGAGGAAGACGTAAATGACATATATAAAATCAGTTATATTCACTTATTTGTTTATTTAACGTTTTTGGAGTATCTGCTTTGTGCCAAGCCCTCTTCCAAGTAATAGTGGTATAGGAGCTCAGCTGAACGTATGAAAGATAGATAAGCAATTTTGTTTTTAATGTTAGTTTGTCACATGGTGATAAGTGCTGTAGAGAAGAATAAAAAAGGGGAAAGAAATAGTTTCCTGAAACCAGAGCTGCAATTTAAGTGGCACTGCCAGTCATGGCCTCACAGAAAAGATGTAGCACTAAGAGAAAATGACAGGGATGGACAGGGAGGCCTGGCGTGCTGCAGTCCACAGGGTCACAAGTCAGACGCGACTGAGCCACTGAACTGAAGAGAAAATGAGCCATGACAATACCCAGGACAATGAGGGGGGAGGGAAGGGGCTTCCCAGACAGGTGATATAACTGCCAAGACCCTCATGGCTGACAGCAGAATAATCAGTGGGGAGAGATGTAGGAACTGAGGTAACAGCAAGGGAGTGTGACCCTCAGATCAAGTAGAGCACAGATGCCTTTATGAGGCCTTTACTAAGTTTCCCCATTTTGAGCTGGGAATCTCAAAAAGATTTTAAAAGGGAAAATCAGATGATCTGACTTAAGCTTTTTAAAGGCTCATTCTGGCTACTGAATTGAGACTAGATTTGGTGGGAGGAAAAGGAAGGCAGGAGGCGGTTAGGTTCTTGTAGTAATCCATGGGAGAAGTGGTGGTGTGGTGGGGGAAGAGGGCCTAAGAAATTATCAATTCTGGATATATTTTGAATAGAGAGCCTTTGGATGTGGGAGATGGAGAAAGCAAAGATGATCCCAACGCTTTTCATCTAAACAATGTGAAAAGTAGAGTTGCCATTTAATTAAATGGCAGATTTTGAGGGAAAGACCAGAGTTTGTTTTTGCATATGCTAGGTTTAAGACGTTTGTTAGACGTCAAGTGGAGATGTCAGTTATGTGTATGTACATATGAGAGTATACACTTGTATATGTATTTTATCTCTCTCTATATATATATGCACATAGATATATATTCAGTGTTCAGTTTAGGAGAGAGGTCTAAGCTAGAGTTACAGGCTTGAGGGTCTTAGGTTTGTCAAATAATTTCACCTTGGTATATTTCTTTGAATGGATCTCTTAACTGAAGAAAGTTTAGGAAAAACTGGCAAGGTCTTATATAGACAGTGTAACGTCTTTGAAAAGTGTTTAAAAACAAAAAGTAACTGGGAGGGGTGGTGAGCAGGTTCCGGAAAGAGTCATGGGGTGGACTTCTCTGGTAATGTTTTGTTTCTGTTTCTTCCTCTTGTTACTCGGTACATGGTATGTTTACTTTGCAAAAATCTATTAAGTTGTATACTGAAGTTTTTGTGCTTTTCTGTATGTATTTTATGATCAGTGTATGTGTCTACATTTGTTTACTTTAAAACAGAGACTACATAAAGCAAGAGTACAGAGTAGTATACACTAAGTTTCAAATAAAGAATAGAGACAATAGCTGCTATTAGAACTTGGAGGAAGCAATGATCAGTACTGTACATAGTTTTCATTGAAAGTACTACTTAAACAAGTAGATAGGAGAGCTTTCTAGAAAAAATAAAGCAAAAATCTATCCTGTGTTTTTCCTAGAGAAAAAAAGGACCACTGTGAAGGGTAGCAGTTAGAAAAGGGCTCATTTTTTAAAACAAAAAATAAAGTTAATATGTATTATGTATAGTTGAAGTAATTATCATGTGAAGTTGACTTTTATCATGCATCAGTCATTCACAGTCAAAAGTATTAAAGTCAGCTTATCCTGCCATATGACCCAGCAATCCCACTTCTGGGCATACACACTGAGGAAACCAGATCTGAAAGAGACACGTGTACCCCAATGTTCATCGCAGCACTGTTTATAATAGCCAGGACATGGAAGCAACCTAGATGCCCATCAGCAGACGAATGGATGAGGAAGCTGTGGTACATATACACCATGGAATATTACTCAGCCATTAAAAAGAATTCATTTGAATCAGTTCTAATGAGATGGATGAAACTGGAGCCCATTATACAGAGCGAAGTAAGCCAGAAAGATAAAGACCATTACAGTATACTAACACATATATATGGAATTTAGAAAGATGGTAACGATAACCCTATGTGCAAAACAGAAAAAGAGACTCCTATGTATAGAACAGACTTGTGGACTCTGGGAGAAGGCGAGGGTGGGATGTTTCAAGAGAACAGCATTGAAACACGTATATTATCTAGGGTGAAACAGTTCACCAGCCCAGGTTGGGTGCATGAGACAAGTGCTCGGGCCTGGTGCACTGGGAAGACCCAGAGGGTTTGGGTGGAGAGGGAGGTGGGAGGGGGGACTGGGATGGGGAATACATGTAAAAAAAAAAAAAAAAAAAAAGATACACTATGGTTGTGATAAAAAATAAATTAATTAATTAATTAAAAAAAAAAAATAAAGTCAGCTTATCCCTTTTTGAATTAGTAACTTCGAGAAAGAATATTTACTTTTTATCCCCTGCATGACTATTTTACATCAGGACTTTCTGGAGACTTGGCAGGGTATCTAAATAATCTTCATCCTCACCTTTATATGTTACAAAGATAAATTATTTACTTTTTACGTGAAAACTAAAGAATCTAACCTAACCCTTGCTGATTCTCTCCCTTCAAAGCTGAGAAGTCTGTAAGGGAGAAGAATCAAATGGTAAGGATGATCAACAATCCCTAACTAATAAATTGTCTCTAGATCATCCACTAGGATTATAATATGAGTCATACTTGTAATTTAAAATTTCCTAATTTTTAGTGTTAAAAAAGTAAAAAGAAACTGATGAAATTATATTTAGTAATGTATTTCATTTAATATATTTAAAGTATGATTATTTCAACATGTAACCATTATATAATCTTTTTAATGAAGTATTTTTACATCTTTTTTCATACTAAGTCTTTGAAATCTGGTCTATATTACACTCACAGCATGTGTCAAAGTCACATTTCAAGTGTTTTGTAGCCTTTTGCAGCTAGAGTGCTGCTCTAGAGCTACAGTTGAAAGCTATTCCACACCTTAACCTGAAGGAAAAAAGTTACTCTTTTTAAGAGAGTTTCACTCATTCAATAGATAGTTATTGAGTACTTTTTGTGTGTCATGTATTTAGCTTGGCTCAAAACACTGTACCAAAAACTACCAGATGTTTCTCTGAGATTCTGTTGTAAATAGTATTTCCTTGCAATAAATTCTAAAATTATCCTTAGGAAACATAGAATCTAGCTTTTTCTTAAGTACCTTTTAAAATATTGACTTGCTTCAATCAAATGTTTCTATTCAGTAGCCTAGAAAATTTTACATAATTATAGAAATGTAAACTTTCATCTAATACAGATACTTTCTACCTTGTATTTCATCCTTGAAGATTAAAACATCTGATTTATTTGAAAACTTCACTTGGCAGTTATTGATTATTAATTTGACTATAGTTATTTTGATTATTAAATTGACTGTGTAAGATAATGGTGGCTATTTTTCATATTAATTTTAGAATATGTTAGCATAAAATATCGGAGAAGGCAGTGGCAACCCACTCCAGTACTCTTGCCTGGAGAATCCCAGGGATGGGGGAGCCTGGTGGGCTGCCGTCTATGGGGACACACAGAGTAGGACACAACTGATGCGACTTAGCAGCATAAAATACATTTTAGAGGCGGATAAGTTTACTTATTATTACTGTGCTTCAGAAAAGCATTTTGCCTCAAATTTGTCAGTCCTGAGAAAAAAATCTTTGCTTTTGGTTCCTACATTTGATTATTTGAACATTTGATGGCCTAAATAATTTCTGAATTTTTAACATAATAATCGTTACCATCTGGCTTGTCAAGTAAAAGTTTTAAAATTATTTGGCTTAAATTTTAAAATATTTACAGAAATATATTTTAAAACTCTCTCTCTCTCCATAGGTATATAAAATATTAGTAAAGAAGACCCCAGAAGAAAGCTGGGTAGTTTTTAGAAGATACACTGACTTCTCTAGGCTTAATGATAAAGTAAGTACTTTAATAAATCTAAAACTGATTTTTCAGTTTGGAATTATTATCTGTTCCTGGAGTTCTACTGTTGTTACTTGTTTTTTCTCCTTTGTTAATTATTTGAGTGAAGTCGAATCTTTGCTGTTTCCTAACAGCTGTTTCATTTAATATCAAGAGTCTGAACTCCCATCTCTACATATAACTTCCTTTTGTTGGAAACAAAAAATTATTTTTAATATTAAAAATGTGAAAACCTTAAAATTTGCAGCAGAAATGTAATTATTTATATAATCTTATAACTTTGAAAAGATGTATGTGTATAAGACCCCCAAAATCATATGATTAAAGAAGAATGAAGAAGAAAAATTTAGCATATTGTGGTTAGTTTTCTTTGCTGTATTACAAATTATCACAGACTTTGTGGCTTAAAACACACCTCTTCATTATTTAGAGATTTGGAGTGCTCAGCTGGGTTTAGCTGCTTAGAGTCGAACAGGGTCAAAATCAAAATGTTGACTTGACTGGCCTCTTATCTGGAAGCTCTGAGAAAGAATCAGCTTTCAGTATCATTGTTGTTGGCAGAGTTTGGTTTCTTGTGATCGTGAGACAAGGTCCCTGTTTCCTTGCTGGTTGTTAGCCAAAGGTTGTTCTTGGCCCATAGATACTATTCAGCTCTTGCACATGACCCTTCCATCTTTAAAGTCAGCAAGAGCTGGTCAAGTTTTTCTTGTCCTGGAATATCTCTGGCTTTCTCTTTTGTCACCAGCCAGGAAAAAGCTTTACCTTTATAAAGCTAAAGTGATAAGATTAGGCTCACGTAAATAGTTTTCCTGTCTTAAGGTCAACTCAGTAGTAACCCTAATTGCATGTACAAAATCATTTTTGCTGTATAACAAGGAAACACAGAGGCTACACCAGGAGCAAAGGTCATGGAGCCATCTGGAATTCACATGTGCCCACTGCACATGTGAAACAAAGGAGATAATAATAAACCTCAGTACATTAAGTACCCTTAAAAATAAGTAACAAGAAACACCCCAAAATAGAAAATTCAGCAAGTGATATGAACTGTGTAATCCACAGAAGAAATATAAATGACCAATAAATTTGGAAACCATTTACTATCATGAGTACTCCAAGAAAAGAAAATTAAGACACTATTTTTTACCTGTTGGGCTTTCCTGGTAGCTCAGTGGTAAAGAATCTGCCTGCCATTGCAGCAGACGCGGGTTCAGGCCCTGGTCTGGGAGGATCCCATACGCCATGGAGCAGCTGGACCCGTGCACCACCACTGCTGAGCCTGTGCTCCATGGCCAGGAGCCCCCACTGCTGAGACCACATGCTGCAGCTGCTGAAGGCACTGTGCCCTGGAGCCTGTGCTCCATGGCCCAGGGGCCTCCACTGCTGACCCTGTGCCCCATGGCCCGGGGGCCTCCACTGCTGAGCCTGTGCTCTATAGCCTGGCAGCCACCACTGCTGAGGCCACGTGTTGCAGCTGCTGAAGGCAGTGTGCCCTGGAGCCTGTGCTTCACAACAGGAGAGGTTGCCCCAGCAAGAGGTTCACACACTGCAGCTGGAGAGAGGCCCCTGCTCTCTACAACTAGAGGAACATCTGCATAACCATAAAGATCCAGCACCACCAATAAACAAATAAAATTACAGTTAAAGAAAAGAAAGAAAAACCATTTTAATTTTCACCTGTCAAGTTGACAGCCTTTAAGTGGTATATCTATTGTTAGAAACAAGTCTTCCTAGAGGACATCCAAAAGCTATGCATAATTTGACACAATGATTACATTTCTGGGATTTATCCTATATAATAAATTATTGATATGGGCAGGATGTAGCCCTATGGATATTTCTCATAATGTTTTGTGTATTTTTCTCTTTTCATTTTTTATTTTGTTTTAAATAGTAAAAATTAGAACCAACCTAAATTTCTAACACTAGGGAATTGATTGAGTAATTGCACTAAGAATTCAGTAGAGAAACAGCAGCTGAAGCGTTCACAGAACTGGTGGAAAACCAGGTAGGACAGGTAGGGGTAACTGGTATTTAAGAAACCAAGAGAAAAAGCATTTTTCCAAAAGAAGCAAGTGGTTTATGATGCTTCGGAGAGGCAAGTATGATGACCTCGGACCACAGGTTACTCCCTAATTTTGATAGATGTTGAGTAGAGGAAACTTTATTGGTCCTACTTTGCCACCTGCCATCTTCCCTCTCGCCTTCTTGGACTCTCTGAACTTCTCAAGTTGGTGTGTTCTTAAAACATTTGGTGATGGGAAGTTCCATTTATGAGACTTTGCAACTGCTGGGATGCCAAAAAGCTTCCACCATTCTTAAACCTCAGTTTTAATGAAAAGGTAAAATATAAAATGCTAAACTATTTTATCCTTAATTAAGGTGTTGTTAAGATGACTTGTTGCAACATGTCAAAATACTTAATATTATTTCTAAGATATTTATATCATATATAAATCTTATTTTCTGTTCCTGAGTTCTTATTTTACATTGTTGATTTAAAAACCTGTAATTCTTTGCTTACGGTCATCTTTTTAAATGGTTAAAATACACAAGACCAAAGTGATTCATTAAGTTACCACATACTTAAGTGGAATTCTTACCTTTCTTATGAAATTGTTATAATTTTTGTTCATACAAACTCATTTCTAACAGTTTTAGTTCAGAGCTATTTCATCCTTTATGACTTTTGTTCTCCTCAGGACTCAACTATTATTTAGTGTTTGCTTCCTTTTATCTCTTTAGATTCATCTTTATTGCCAAAATATTTCTTGCCTTAGGCAAGCTGAGATTTAGATTGCTCTTAAGCTTTTGAAAAAAGATGTTGATAGAAGTTTAAGTCTTGTAAAATATATCCTTGATCCTCTAAGTTGGGCACTTAAAATTAATAAGTGTATATGTCAGTCTTCTAGGTACCAGAAAGAGCTCCATTCATCACCTGATTTTACTGGCAAGAATCAAAAATGTGTGTCAGACACCAGCAGCCACACAGTTTAAATGGTAGTTATTATTTTTATAATTGTTAAAGTAAAATCTTAGCATCTTTCATTTTGTAAAACCAGTCATGAAGTTTTTGAGTTCATCACTGTGCTAGGAATTTGGTATCATATAGAAACTATACAGATGTGATTCTAATGTTGAGGAGTTTATATTTTCCATTTTTCTATAGTAGTGAGGAAAAAAATAGCCAGTTGTCAATGTGAAAATCATTTTAGTTAAAATAACACTGTTTAGAAAGAGAAATTTTTTCTTCCTCTTTTTTAAATTACCTGGGTTATAATCTGGCTTCAGCTTCTCTAGGAGTTTTTCAGAACCTCTTCTGAGAAAGTTAGAGGGCAAGGTGGTGAGCAAGGTCTGGAACACACAGTCTCTCAGAATTGAGACATCTGGCAGAGTTGTAGAGCCGACTGGTGATGAACAGTTTGCAGAAATGTGGCCGTGAGCGTGAGGTTTTCTTTATTTTCTACTAGAAAGCTCACTGTTTTCTACTTCCAGTTTGCAGAAGTAGTTTAAAGTTGAGTAATTTTCTGATGTAAAATGATTATTCTCAATTGGTTGCACCCAGCAGAGCATAGAGAGGAAGCAGAACTATTATCAGCCCACTGTCAAGACAAGCAGAGCTCATATGAAAATCTGGGCTAAGCTCAACCAAGCATTCAGTCCTTCCATTAAAAAGAAACTCATGGTAGTCTTCAGCATGTCTGTCTCTTGGGTCACACTGTCCTGAACTGTCCCAAACTGACCGACCTGAGGCCGTTGTAAAGCTGCCTTTCACTGTCTTTCTGGGGTTTTCACTTTTTCCGTTGTCAGGGTTCCTTTCCTTTGTGTCGTGTCTTCTTTCTTGGATCACAGGCTCCTCTTGGCAGAACTCGCCCTTCAGTGGCTTCTTGAGGAAGGCCGCATGGGAAGCAGTGTCCTTCAGACCCCACACGTCTAAAATGCTCACTCCATTTTCATGCTTGGTTGAAATGTGAGCTGGGTATAGAATTCTAGGTTGTAAATGTCCTTTCAGAGTGTTGGAGACATTAAGCTATTTTATCTTGTCCTTAGTGTTGCGTTTTGTCCTCGAGAAGTCCAGAGCTGTTCCTGCTCCTGATCACTTGTCTGTCGCTGTTTTTTTCTTCTTTAGAAGTCTTTGGAATCTTCCTTCTGTAATTAATCTGAAATTTCACAGTGACTTTTTTTTTTTTTTTTGCCACCTTCTAAATTTATCTTTTAATTGAAGGATAATTGCTTTACAGAGTTGTGTTGGTTTCTGCCAAACATCAGCATGAGTAGCCAATGGGAATTTGCTGTATGGCTCAGGGAACTCAAACTAGGCCTGTCTAGCAGCCTGTAGGGTAGGGTGGGGAAGGAGGTGGGGGGGAGGTTCAAGAGGAAGGGGACACACATGACTTTCTGTAGGTTCTTTTCTTGTGTTAACTTGGACACTCTGGGAAGTCCATGTCTTTCAAGTTCAGAGAAGTGTTTTTGAATTGCTTTATTAATGAATTCCTCCCTTCTATGTTCTGTGTCACCTCTCTTGTAAAACAGACCTTTGGGCTGGTTCTGTATGATTCTGGATCTTTTCCTCCCCCTGTTTACTTTTTTTTTTTTTAATGCTATTTTGAAGGCAGTTTTCCTTTTCTCTTTCTAAGACCATCTTTTCTCTGAGTTTCCTCTCTTTTGGTCATCTTATTCTTATTTCTTAATGTAGTATCTTAATCCATTGACTGTATTAGTGATTGTATTTTTATTCATACTTTTTCCTCTTTGTGATATTTGTCTTTGTCTTCCATGTTAAGTACTAGTGTGTAGTAATTCTTGGTTGTCTGCTCATGATTAACAGTTGGGTACTAATAGCTGATTGCAATCTCTTACTTCATGGGAGAGTCTTGTGTTGACTTCAAGATTCACTGTGTAATGGGAAAGGTGGGCTTTTCCTGGAGAACTTCCGATTGCAGGATCTTAAAGGCATTGCTGTTGAGCTGATCAGACTCTCCAGAGGTGTTTTCCAGTCTCCTGCCTCGTGCTGCCAGTTTGTGAGCAGTTTGAGGTCTCTTTAAGTATGAACTTGGAGTAAGTTTTTCTGCACCTCAAGTTTCTTGGCTCTCTTGAGCCAATTGCTGCTCTCCTCAGTGCTTTTTAGTTTCCAGTATGTTGTTTTAAGTTTCTTTCTCTTTACCATAATTTGAGCAGAACTCAGAAAGAATTAGATGAATGTGCTCAGTTCTCCATCTTAATCCCACAGCATGTGTGTCATTTCATTTTTTTCAAGGCTTTTCTATAGAAATATCAAATGCCTATTTTGATGTCATTTCACAGGAAATCTGTTAATGTTTAATGAAATATAAAAGCTACCATTTATTAGTTATTTCAAGCTAATGTATAGTTCCCAAAGTGTACTTTGTTCCAAATAAAGTTATTGAATAAGCATTTATAAACACTTTGTGAAGGCCTAATTATGGAACAACTCACTCTTTTCAGAGGATTATTTTTTAAGGGGGAAAAAAAAATCTAACCATGCATGTGGACATATGTTACATTTAAATTTTAAAGCTTAAAATTAAATTTTTAAAAGACTTTTTATTTCATCCTTACAGCTTATTTTCAAACAGTAAACAATCAGACTCCAAGGCCAAAAATATCTATCTACATCTTGAAATCAAATCAGAATTTTCAGTATAGAAATGTTGACAGAATGTTTTATATTTTTCTTTAGCTTTTTACCCTGTGACTCTTTCTCCTTTGCTAGTCTTTTTTCTTACATTGTAATATTTTGTCTTGTATATAAGTAGAGAAATATGAATGTATGTGGTTCCATTTCATTTCATCCATTTATTGAATGTAGATTGTTGACTACTTGTAATGTAGCAGGCATTGTGTTAGGCATTGGGGGTGCAACTGTGTGTAAAATGGTTCTCAATCTTAACTGTACTTTGCACTTCCCTAGAGAGCTTTTTAAAATTACAATGCCCAGGCCATATCCCAGCCAGTTAAAATCCAAATATGTCAGAGGTAGGACACAGTCATTAATATCAATTAATCATCTTCAGACAAAAGGGAGCTGTTTACAGTGGAGCCCTCTCAGAATATCTGTGAGTTCCTACTCAAAAGTTCCTTGGGTGATTCCAGTGTGCAGCCAACATTTAGAATGACTGGTCTGGTAGGAGAGTCCAGTTAAATAAACAGTGCTTAATTTGCCTCATGATAAATGTTATATAAAAAATAAGTGAAAGATTTGATAATGTGTGGCATACTGTCTTTTCCAAATATGTCTGCAGCAGCATTCTCAGTCCCATATGCTCTCCTGGAATCTTGCCACTTACCATCAACGGGTAGAATCTTGTTTCCTCTCTGCCTCGAAAATGGGTGGGCTCATGACTAATGTAATAGAGAACAGTGGAACTGACTCTTTGTGAATGAGGCTAGACCATAAGAAGTATACAGCTTCATCCTGACTTTCTGTCTTGGGATGCTCCCTCTTTGAAACCCAGTCTCTATGCTGTGAGAAAGTCCACTGTACATGAAGAGGCCCTGTCAGGCTTGTGATTGACAGCCCCAGCTAAGGTCTCAGCCAGCAAACAGCCTATTCCTGTATAAATATATGAGAGTGAACTTCAGATGCTTCTCAACCTCAAGTGTCCAGCTGAAGTTCTAATTCATTGTGAAACAAAGAATCCATCCTCACCCTGCCCTGTAGGAATTGCCAGCCCACAGAGTCCATGGCCTAATAAATGATTGTTCTATACCACTGAATTTTGAGGTACCTTGTTATCCAGTTATATTAATATAGTCAATTAATCAGAGTGTATAAAGGGAAATCTCACCCAGCTTAGAAGGTGGAAAAGCTTTCCCTAAGAAAGTAAAATTTAAGCCAAATATGCAAAATGGATTAGAAGCCAAAATGTAAAAGTTAAAACTATGAACATCTAGGAAAAAACATAGAAGAAAATTTTTACAGCCCTGGAGTGAGCAAAGGTTTCTTAGATAGTATTTAAAACAGCATAAACCAGAAAAGGAAAAAAAAAAAAAAAAGGATGAGTTAGGAAACAGTAAAGATTTTTAAATGTACTCCATTAAGAATAACATGAAAAGTCAAAACACAGTTTGGGAGAGTATATTCATCATACATATACCTGACAAAGGCCTTGTATCTAGACTATATAAAGAACTCTTGACAACCTAATCCAAAGACAAGTACCCAGTTTTTTGAAAAGCAGAGGGTTCAGATGATTTGAATAGATCCAAGCACATGAAAAGATACTTAACACCACTTGTCAACAGAGATTGGCAAATTAAAGCCACAGTGAAATACTACTACAGGCCTAGTAGGATGGCTAACATTAAAAAGATGGACAATACCAAGTGTTAGCAGGGACGAGGAGCAACTGTAATAACTCCTGTGCGTACACAGCTGGTAGAAATCAAAGTCAGTCAAGAAATCAAATACAGTCAAGCCGTAAAAAGCATATATCTGAATTTAAATCTTTTATTGTAAGCTTGTTCTGTGAATAGTTTCATAGAGTCAACAGATTAGATGTTTTAGAATTCAGGTAATTTAGTTGAACATTGTATTTTCTGTTTTCTTCTTTTTCAGTTAAAAGAGATGTTTCCAGGCTTTCGATTAGCCCTTCCACCAAAACGCTGGTTTAGAGATAATTACAATGCCGACTTTTTAGAAGATAGGCAATTAGGATTACAAGCATTTCTTCAGAATTTAGTAGCTCACAAGGACATTGCTAACTGGTATGTAACAAATTGAATAAGAGTTACGAATGCATTCCAATAACTGATTTAAACTAGAGAATAAATCTAGGACCATATTTATTCAAGCACAAAAAATACAAGGTAGGAGTATAATTACTTATCCTGTCTAAAAGCAGTAACTGTGATTTTCTTGGCTTTTTTCTGTATGGACTGACTTGGTTTTGGTTTATACTAACACTTACAAAGTCCAGCAAAGTTAAAACTTCAGTGTGACATATAGTTAAACCACCTACCGAGCTATAAATTTGATTTTAGTGTTTTAGTAATAACTTAACAATAGTAGCTAGCATTTTGGTAGATTTTTGTTAAATATGACACTATATAATTTTGACAATATGTATAATTCTCCAAAGTAATACAAAAACATGAAATCAGGTTAATTTATACAGAGAGTGAAGTAAAAATACCAGAAACTATTAGAAAGGGAAAGAAAGGATCTATATCCTTTCTTTATTTTTTGTATCTGAATATATTTACAAGAAAATTGCTATATGATCTGATTGCATCTGGGTATCTAATCTTGGAACTTACATTATCAGATACATTAGAACCATTTTGAAAAAATTAGCATATTTATAGCTTCCCAGGTGCCTCGATGGTAAAGAATCCGCCTGCCAGTATATGAGGCAGGGGTTGGATCCCTGGGTCAGGAAGGAAATGGCAACCCACTCCAGTGTTCTTGCCTGGAAAATCCCATGGACAGAGGAGCCTGGCAGGCTACAGTCTATGGGGTCGCAAAAGACTCCGACACAACTTCGTGACTAACCAACAGCAGAGAGCATTTATGGTACAGCAATAGCATGTTGTGTAGAGACCTACTTTTGGAACGATCTGTAGCAATTTTTCACATAAGAATGGAAAACAAATAAAACCGCTCTCACTTTTTTCACCCTTTCTTCTTAGTCTTTCTTTTCTTTGTATCACCTTAGATGGACAGGGAGGCCTGGCGTGCTGCGATTCATGGGGTCGCAAAGAGTCAGACATGACTGAGCGACTGAACTGATATTACACACGACACATGTCCTATACATGTATATCTTGCTTCTTAATGTGTGCTAAGCTCAGTGACTGCCTGAGATCTCTGCCATCCCTCCTCACTTTCCTCTAATAAAGTAACTACAAGCCAGACCCCTCCTCCCATTTCCAGATTCACTGCTGCGGTTGCCTCCTTGCCATCTCCTTCAGATATCTCAGTGTGACCTCAAACCTAGAACAGACTTCCCAGCTCATTCCCTCACTTTGCCCCCAACATTCAGCATCGTTGTCTACCCACAACCCAGTCATTTGGACACATCCCTGCCGTTACACTTTAAATACTGCTCAAGTCTGTCTGTCTCTCCGTCCCTGCCATTGCCACTCCAGCCCAAGTGGTTGCTTCTCACTTACATCGCTCCTTCCCCACCACTGTCTTCCTCATCCGCCCCTGTTTCTGTAGCCCACTGGAGCCACGGTGACCTTTTCTGATGCGATTTAAATCATCCTTTCTGGTCCCTGACTACATGGCTGTCTTTCCAACCTTATGTCTCATTATTCCTCCCTGCCCCTGTTCTCTGCATCAGACATAGTTGGTCTTGTGCTTTTTCAGAGTCCCCTGTTCCTTTTTTAATATGCTGTCCCTAGAAATGCATTTCACAGTACTGCCCTTGCTCCTTGCTCCTTGCCCAGCCCCAGCCTAGATAACTCCTTCAGGTTTCAAGCAGACTTCACTTCCTTAGGTTGGTCTCCTGACAAGCCCCTCATCCATCCCCACCACTAAAAATCAGGTCAAGTCTTTCTCATAGTGTCTTCTCTACTGGTTCTGAAAGTCAGTTCCTAATGTCTTAAGACACCTGTTGCATGTAACAGACTAACTTCTCTCTAGGATGATACTAGCCATATACCACCAGTCTTAAGAGAATTGAGAAAATAGTCACTCATATCATTGGCAATAGGATTTAATCCTCATGTGGAATCCCAGCCGAACAAGGCTGGTTGGAACTTTACCTTAGTCGCCTTCAGTTTGTAACTGTTTCTGTGGTTACTTGGTTGTGTTCTCCCACCAGGCTGAAGGGTACACACCCGGGAGTGGGTCGTGTGGGCCTTTCACCCACCACTCAGTGTGCAGGGCCTGTTAGCGTAATGCAGCAGTCCATGTCAAAAAGTCCGTGCTGGATGAGTGGCAGAGCTGTTGACGGTTGTTACTATACTGGTTATAAGAAAAAGAGGCTGGAGTAAATATGACCAAACTTAGCAATTGTGTGTTCTTGTCTAGGTGGTGGGAAGATGGATGCTCCCTACTTTTCTGTATTTTTTTTTTAATCTCTCCAAAGGGAAAAAAAATAGTGTTAATTCAGATACACAAAGCAGGAATAAAAGCCAACAAACTCTAAAATCATAGAGAAAACCTTGTTTCTTTTTTTTTTTATATTTATTTATTTATTTTTTTATTTTTTTTATCACAACCATAGTGTATCTTTTTTTTTTTTTTTTTACATGTATTCCCCATCCCGGTCCCCCCTCCCACCTCCCTCTCCACCCAATCCCTCTGGGTCTTCCCAGTGCACCAGGCCCGAGCACTTGTCTCATGCACCCAACCTGGGCTGGTGAACTGTTTCACCCTAGATAATATACGTGTTTCAATGCTGTTCTCTTGAAACATCCCACCCTCGCCTTCTCCCAGAGTCCACAAGTCTGTTCTATACACAGGAGTCTCTTTTTCTGTTTTGCACATAGGGTTATCATTACCATCTTTCTAAATTCCATATATATGTGTTAGTATACTGTAATGGTCTTTATCTTTCTGGCTTACTTCGCTCTGTATAATGGGCTCCAGTTTCATCCATCTCATTAGAACTGATTCAAATGAATTCTTTTTAATGGCTGAGTAATATTCCATGGTGTATATGTACCACAGCTTCCTCATCCATTCGTCTGCTGATGGGCATCTAGGTTGCTTCCATGTCCTGGCTATTATAAACAGTGCTGCGACGAACATTGGGGTACACGTGTCTCTTTCAGATCTGGTTTCCTCGGTGTGTATGCCCAGAAGTGGGATTGCTGGGTCATATGGCAGTTCTATTTCCAGCTTTTTAAGAAATCTCCACACTGTTTTCCATAGTGGCTGTACTAATTTGCATTCCCACCAACAGTGTAAGAGGGTTCCCTTTTCTCCACACCCTCTCCAGCATTTATTGCTTGTAGACTTTTGGATAGCAGCCATCCTGACTGGGGTATAATGGTACCTCATTGTGGTTTTGATTTTCATTTCTCTGATAATGAGTGATGTTGAGCATCTTTTCATGTGTTTGTTAGCCATCTGTATGTCTTCCTTGGAGAAATGTCTGTTCAGTTCTTTGGCCCATTTTTTGATTGGGTCATTTATTTTTCTGGAGTTGAGCTGGAGGAGTTGCTTGTATATTTTTGAGATTAATCCTTTGTCTGTTGCTTCGTTTGCTATTATTTTCTCCCAATCTGAGGGCTGTCTTTTCACCTTGCTTATAGTTTCCTTTGTTGTGCAAAAGCTTTTAAGTTTCATTAGGTCCCATTTGTTTATTTTTGCTTTTATTTCTAAAATTCTGGGATGTGGGTCATAGAGGATCCTGCTGTGATTTATGTCGGAGAGTGTTTTGCCTATGTTCTCCTCTAGGAGTTTTATAGTTTCTGGTCTTACATTTAGATCTTTAATCCATTTTGAGTTTATTTTTGTGTATGGTGTTAGAAAGTGTTCTAGTTTCATTCTTTTACAGGTGGTTGACCAGTTTTCCCAGCACCACTTGTTAAAGAGGTTGTCTTTTTTCCATTGTATATCCTTGCCTCCTTTGTCGAAGATAAGGTGACCATAGGTTCGTGGATTTATCTCTGGGCTTTCTATTCTGTTCCATTGATCTATATTTCTGTCTTTGTGCCAGTACCATACTGTCTTGATGACTGTGGCTTTGTAGTATAGTCTGAAGTCAGGCAGATTGATTCCTCCAGTTCCATTCTTCTTTCTCAGGATTACTTTGGCTATTCGAGGTTTTTTGTATTTCCATACAAATTGTGAAATTATTCGTTCTAGTTCTGTGAAAAATACCGTTGGTAGTTTGATAGGGATTGCATTGAATCTGTAGATTGCTTTGGGTAGTATAGCCATTTTGACAATATTGATTCTTCCAATCCATGAACACGGTATATTTCTCCATCTGTTTGTGTCCTCTTTGTAAAATCATAGAGAAAACCTTGAAGAAAATATATTTTATACCATACCGTAAAATACTTTATCTCTAAGAAATCAACAAATCCTATCCCTTTTCTCTTACTCCTTATTCATTAAACCTGTATATATTTGTATTGAAAATATAGCAAATTAAAATTGAATTTATTCTATAAATGACTACATCTTTTTATTTAATGAAATATTATATAGTATGAACCACATTGATAAACTCATCTCATGATTTATTGATTTTTTTTTCTAAACATTAAAAGTGTATCTTAGTTGAGCTGTACCTTTTTTTAATCTTTGGTACTAGATCTCTGTAGGGTAAATGTTCAAGATCCTATTTCTAAAACAGTTTCTAAAATTGTCCTTAGAACAGTGATAGCAGTCTTGTTCAATTCACAGATAAATGTTTTCAGGAAAAGGAAGATTTCTTGGTCAAGTAAGTTGGGGAAAGGTTTCATTTGAATTTCCTAGAATATTAAAGGTTTTAAAGTCTTATACAAAAACCTGTAGTGTGCCTCACACTTACTTGCCTATGTATTTTTGTCATATATCTCAGATACTGAAGGAATTCAGTAAGATAAATATAACTCCAATAATGTATGTGTTGTTATTGTTGTTCAGTCGCTAATTCATGTCCAGCTCTTTGCGACCCCATGGAAGTAAGATAAGCATAGAAACCTTATGTTTGTTCTCGGGTACCGTCTTTTTCGTGAGTGATGAGTAGCATTTTTTATTTCATGTTTTAAGCAGTTTCTTAATAAATTAGTATTAAAAACATGACTTGGCAGAAGGAAGA